CGTCAGCTCTGTGGGCTACTTGTTTCAGTTCCAATCCCGCCAAAGAGAGCCAGCGCTCAGTTCAGAGGGGGAGTGCAATGAGTCAGATCCTCTGCTCCAATTATATCTGCATCCTGCAGTCTGCTCTTTAAAGTAAACACACACACATAAGACAAAAACGCACACAGGCAGAAAGACACACTTTGAAATCCACACTGCCCACATAGCCGCCAAGAAATGCATGTAGCAGTCAGAAAGTAACAGACTGGAAAACAGAATCACACATGCCCTGAGTGCACACACACACACACGCACACACACACACACACACACACACACACACACACACACCCACTTGAGCAGGAGCTTGTTGACCATCACACAGCCATGGGACTGTGAAGGGGTGGTGGTGGTGGAGGGGTGAGCTCACCAAGATCGCTTTGAAGTTTCTATTCAGGTCTTTGTCCCATTCAGGCTGCTGGCAGTAGACATCTCTACTAGAAGCCTGGCCCCTCCCATCATCACACCATCCCCTCACACAAACACACACACACACACACTCAAAAAGAAAGCACGTCCGCAGGTCCTGTCCATCACACAGGCTTTAATTAGAGTGGATTCGAATGCACCCTTTTGTACACTTCTCAATCTCCTCTCTTTCTTTAACCCCCGCCCTCACTCATTTCACTCTCTTTCACCAGCTCCCACCCTCTCTTTTTCTCTCATTCCTCCCTCTCTCCACTAACCCCTTTTCACTTTTGTTGCCCTCCTTTTCTTGGCAGGGAGCGAGGCACCTCTCCAGACTTTTTCTTCTCCATGCCTTGAGCCCCCTTCTATCCCCCTCTTCTCTCCCGGTGCCAACCCTCCACCCCCCCCCCCCAATTGAGTGTGACCTAATGTTTGACAGACAAGTAGCCTTGGAGAAAAGACTCATCTATCAGAGGCTTGTAATTCTATTAGAATAGACAGAACCCCCCCCCCCAGGCCAGCATTTGGCATATTCTCTCCGTCAATTTAGCTCTTCTCTAAACCCTTTGGGCCACTAGCCTACAAAATGCAGTTTACGCTTACAAATAATCACAGCGAGTTAATAACTTGTGTGTGTGTGTGTGTGTGTGTGCGCGTGTGTGCATGTCCTAACGCTCCACCTATTTTTTCATCTGGAATTGTTCTTTGATATTAAGCATCAAAGAACAATTTCTCTTTTCAAATTCTAATCTCATCTGAGAGGCTAAAAAGATATAATGCAGGGAGCCGTGGAGAGTTAAGATAGGAGGATCACAACCAGCTACTAATCAGGATTGTTATCAAGATCCCAAGATGTTTATATGTAGACAAGGATGGTTACACGAAACAGCTATTGTCTTGGCTTGTTATTAGACCTAATTACTGATATGAAAAGAGAAGATCTCCTGCTGGGATGGTAAATTGAGGAAGACATGTTTAGCGCAGATTGTTATTTGTCTGTAATCAGAGCTTTTCCTGTCAGTCATGACGGCTGAGATGAGCAAAGGAGAGGAGGCAGAGGGAATCAAGAAAGGGAGAAGAGAGAGGAGGAAGACGTCTGGACAGCAATCAAGCGTACCACAAACAGGAAATGTAAGTCTGCGGATGCCCCAGCTGTTGTGTTTGGCCTCACTGCTGTTAGAGTTAAATCAAAGCAGCATGAATAGCTCATGCAACAACTTTCAAGTGTCAGCCCCCGAAAATAGTCAGTTTACATTAACAGAGTTTTCCCACTGTTTCAACTGGCTCAGTGTTTGGAGTGAATCTGTGTTGTTTGCGTTTATGTCCTTGTGTTTCCTTTAAGTGAACACTTTACTGTGCGTGAGAAACGACGGGAAATATGCTGCTAAGTGCTTGTGTGCTTGTGTGCGTGTGTGTGTGTGTGTGTGTGTGTGTGTGAGGGTGCGTTGTCTCAGTGGTTAATAGCTGTTCGATATTGATTACAGCTGGAACGTCCGAGTCACATGTTCCTCGTCCTCTCCAGATAACGAGGGTTAACCACTTGACCCCGTGCATGCCAAAGGGGCTCCGCTCATACCTGGATCCATAGCCCCAGATGGGGCCAGATCTCCCACAGCTCTACCAAGGCCGCAGCCTTTGGGTCTCCAGTCTGGCTCGTAGATCACGGCCCGTGTCACAGAGCCACACCAGAGGGAAATATTCCAGACTTCATTAAGGGCAGATTAAAAGCAAGAGAAGGCCACTTTATCTGTGATTTATTTCCACTGTGAGGTTGCTGGGCTCACTACAGGCCGGCAGTGGCTTTATCCCGGAATGATGATGTCATGGTTTCAGTGTTTGCGAAGTGTAAATATCAGATTGGGAAGGAACTATGTCCTCGGCAGCAGGGTTCATCTTGGAGCTATGGAGAATGACTAACCATTCTCCAGTTTAGAGCTGAAACAAATCATTAGCCGATGAACAGAATATTAACCTGAAGCCATTCTGATAATTGATTAATCTTTCTAGTCATTTATTTAAAAAAAAACTGGTTCCAGCCCCCTAAATGAGAGGATTTCCTGCTTCTATCTGTTTTATATCATTATAAACTGAATATTGTTAGCCAAGCTAGCATGCTGTTGGTCCAAACTGAAATATCACATCTAGCACAAATATTAATTTACCCAGAGGATGAGTCCCTATGACTTTGGTGATCCTGTGACTTCTTCTCAGCAATTGTAGTATCAAGTAAACTACTGGAAGGACACACATTGATTTCCCCCACAGAGTGAACTTTAATAACTTTGGTAATCCCCTGACATCTTCTCTAGTGCCATCATCTGGTCAAAAAATTTAATTTGTCCAGTACTTCAGATTAGGATTAAATATTTGCTAAACTAATGCCATTCCCATCAATTTCACAGAGCCGCTAGCATGGCTATAGATTCTTAGTCTTTCTGGGTTGAAGATGTCACCATAGGCTCTGGGGAATGATGCTCGGCATGTTCCACCGATTTCTGACATATAAAACAATGATCAATTATGAAAATAAACTCCATTTTCAAGGGTCTGAAGAGCGTCTATGTATGAGCTTCTGTGTTATTAAAGTACATTCAGGCTATTTTTAGGAGCACTAATCACAGGCACCTATACATATTAACATGATGACCTCGTTCCTTGAAAACACCACTGTTTCATAGGTGGCTCTCTTTGGAGGATTACACTTCCATGGTTTGTGTGACTGATCTACAAAGCTACATTAAACACACCCTTTTGTCTTTACTGCACTGTGTGTGACGTTGCATAATGCTTTTTTGTTTATGTAGAATAATGTCGACAGTCCATTATCTGCTAAATATCCTCCATAATCCTCCTGTACTGTACTGATGATGTGTTGTTCTTCTGCCACGTGTACTGTTGTAAAAGATTAGTTTTGATTACTTCTCAAGAAAAATCTCTGTGTTAAATTGTAATTGTCTAATAAAGTGTTTTTGATTCTCCTTTTTCCCGACTGTGGTCTGATCGCACTCTGACAACAACAGCCTGGTATGCCCACCACCATCGTCCTGGAGCCATATTGCTATTGGCCACTCATATTTGGCCGCAGCTGTGGCACTCGTCAAAAAAGTTGCACACAGGAGGCGTCTCATTGGCTCGCAGTAGATCAGGTATCTATCCGTGACCACCTGATTGGCCATCGGGGTGTCAGGTACCCCAGACGTCCGAGGCCATCTGACAGGACACGCCGGCTCTGCGGCAGCTGGCCTGTGTTTGCTGTTGCTATGACAACACTCTGAAGGATGCAGCAATGGCAAAGCTCCAGCAGCACTTGTAGTGTAAAGAACAACTTCATGACCTCTTCAGACTTTTCTCACCTCTCCCTACTCTCATGCAGCCATGGCACTCCAGCTTCTCTGACCCCTGTTATCACTGTCTCTCTCTCTCTCTCTCTCTCTCTCACACACACACACACACACACACACACACACACACACACACACACACACAAAACACACTTAAATATAAATAGCCTACACTCGGATAATTAGAGTGCAGAATCATTTGGGTGTGGAGCTGATGTTGAGCTCATTGTTTCACAAAGATGTATGGGCTGTCAAGCCACAATAGCATGTACTAAAAAATAATTCCACGAACGGCAAGACATGTCTTTAAATGACTGTTAACTTTCCTTCCCAGTTCCACCCAATCCCCCTCCTGTATCCCATGAATCGATTTCATTGCAACCATTAGGGGGCGGCATTGATTGAATAAATGCAACTAAATTGAGAGAAACTCCTTCTCACATGCACACACATATGCACACAAAGGGGGCACAGACATGGACATGATCAATTATGTGTCAAGCATTTCTTCCTCAATGAATGAATGGCCCAATGACTATAGGCTACCGACCGTCTATTGTCTATTGACACTGGAGACTAAATTCTCATGCAGTTCATTATCCCAGAAGGGGACAGCTAGAAAGAGATCCAAAGAGACCATTAATCATGATTTCTTTCAAAGAGGACAACAGAAGGGACCGAACTAACAAATACTGTAATCCCATACAGTAAATTCTAAAGATGTATAATAGTATTAGTAATTGTTGCTGTTACATTGAAATTATAGCCTAGTTATAAAGAGAAAAAATGACATAGGCCTATTCACTTATCCTACCTACCACAGACATAATGATAATGCCCCAAGGGGGATGTTTTATAGGCCTATATGTAGGAATGTCATGGCCTAAATGTTTAGTCCGGGATCTACAGAGACAAGCAGGTTCTAGCCTTAAGGGGCCAAAGTTTTAGCCTATCACGCTCGTTCTCCTCACCAAAGCTTTCGGTATGACGAACAACTCCAAAGTCCATTTCAAATTGGGTCGATTTCTCGGGCCGAGGCGGTGGGGGTGGAGATGTGGGGGTCAACCCAATAACAGACTCAATTCCACCTCCCTCTACCCACCATCCACCCATCCACGTCCCCATAAATGCCTTCGCTTCCTGCTTCCAAGTTCGGACAGAGCGCTGTGATTGGCCGCAGCTCGCACGGTGGGCTGTTCCCCCTGCGCTCTCCTCGGCTCGGGTTACAGTTGAGCTCGAGCTGCTGCACTCAGCGGAGTGCGGAGAGTGTGCGTTACACGGTTACAAAAAAAAAAAAAAATCATATAGGCTACCGGCATGGAAATGTTGGCGGGCGGATTTAGGGCCACCGAGCAGGCTGTTGAGCAGGTCTAATCTCCACTCTGCACTTTTTTTGTTCCTGAACGGTAACAAACAAGGGGGAGACGTACATATATTTACGCACTGGCAACGCAGCATGCCCGAGTTGGACTAGAGGCGACTCTGCTGGAGCGCAACACGCACGCGGAACGGCGCTGAGAGCCGGGAGGGATATTTACAATAGAAACTCAATTCCTTTGCGAAGAAGAATAGCAGGTGGAGGGGGGTGAGTGAAAGATAACACTGGAATGAAGTGGACCTCGGGATTCCCAGCGTGCTGCGGAGTTGTGACTGATGGATGAATGTGGTCATCTGTAGGCTATATACAGCGACAGGTACAGACACCATCAGGGGAGCTTTGACAAAGACACGGCGCAGCGCTTCATCTGCAGCCGCATCGCCAAAACTGTGTCTCCAAAATAAAAACCCTGTGTGATTGGTTAGATCTGTTTCACCACACACCAGATCGTGTCTCCGAGTTGTCCCTACAGAGCAAGAAGGTCAGGAAGGGCTGCTTTTGTCTCAGCCACAGGTCAACCAGGACACTCGGGGGCTGCTTTCCTACCAGATCCTAACAAGAACCGGGGCTCCTTCGCACGTCCAGCGGACAGTTCACCCAAGGACACGGGGGCCTGGAGCAGATTTTAAGAAGTCGGACAGAAGGACATGTATCTGATATCGACCTCACATGCTCCCGACTGATCGTAGCTCACCTTCCCACCGGGCGAACCACAGATAAAGGCTGCCAGGCGCACTGTTCGACGCTCTGAGTTATCGGCTCACTGTCTGTACATTTATCAGAATGGCGGGGCTAGGTTGTTGGAAGTATTATCTCTGGATCTTAATTTTAATGTGCAGGTCGGCGTTACCTGCGGCCAAATCGCTGGAGACTATAATTTGGAGCTCACAGAATCTCAAGTAAGTCTCGTATTTTGAATTTGTGGAACTCGCTGGGTGTGTGCGTAACGACTAACATTACTGGAAAAGTTTCCATTGTGGGCAAGCTGGGTTAAATGTTCTGTTAAATGTATAGCAATTATCCAAATAAGAACACAGCGTGTTTAGTTTTAATTGACATTCCTGCGCCCTAGAGTTTTGTGTTGATTTGTTTCTCGGTGGGGGATTTCCCAACACCAGAGAAACACGGTAGGTACAGGCTCGTACAATTTACAGTAGGCCTCACTTAAAACACAATGATAGATGGGTAATTATAGTAATTTATGACAATATTACATGCCCCTTTTTATTACCACACTGAGGGCAAAGTCTGCTTGGGCAGATTACGACTGTTTCAGAGTTTGTCCACTTATTCCCTATAATGTATTGGAATTGATGTAATTAGCTGAGTGGTGAATGAAAGAGAAAAGTCAAGGAAAGCATGCCAAGTGTGTCAAGGTGTAGCCCAGTTAACTGGATCGAGGACATTTCTCCTCTCAGTCCGGTCTCAGGAGCCCCGAGCATGGGCTGCTTGCCTTCTGTGAGGGCCCACACTGTGTCCAACTCTCCACCCTTTTGAATTTTAGTTTGCCCACAAAAAAGTGTGATAAGATGGTCTCAGATACCAGAGCACCAAATGCTTGAAATTAATTTAATTGTCCTTAATTGTCATGGCTTGGATCCAGCCTAATTTCTCCACATCAAATCAAGGGCAAGTTTCTCAAAAGCAAGCAGCTGAAGCCAGACAAAATTCATATTATTCCCATCAAAACAAGCAGAGTGAGCCCAGACTGCTGATAATAAAATACGCTCTGGTAACAATTATCACCCACTTAGACTTGACTCCCACATTTGCATGATGTTGGAAAGCATACATAAAGGGAACATAAACTAAAAAGGAAGGGAAAAAAACCCTCTCCTTTATTTCTGTGTGGTTGGAATCTAGGAGCTGACCTTCACAGCACCGAAGGGAAATGGAGAGTAGCTCGACCAGCTTATAACTAGAACTTACTCATTCAGGTGAATCCATGATTTATCCCCCAAATGTCAGATGTCATAGGAGCTCGTTGTGCAGTCAGTGAGTATGAATATTGCTGCCATGGTCATTGGACTGTATGTGGATATGTGTGTGTGTGTGTGTGTGGCCTGGTCCTAATGGTAAGACTACGGCCCATCAGCTTTTATTTGACTATGGCTGCAGAGGTAGTGGAACAATTAGCGTCATCAGACAGGCAGACAGAGATATTTCACACGTGCACAAAAACCCACATCTTGTGTCAGTCAAATGAAAAAAAAGGGGGCATTTATTGATTGATGATGTCACCTGGAGGGAATGTCTAAGAAGGTTACCACGCTGGTTTAGGAATTGGGAGATCATTTCTCCATCTGTTCCTCTACTCTGCTCCTTGTAAAATCCCCGTGCTGGCTGAATATTTCATAAAGTTCACAGTGGAACAATAATGCACTCTGCAAAGTGTTCTCTCAACCTAATTACCATGCTCCTCTGCGCTTAGAAAACAATAGACAATTATCTTGCTGTGTGCAGGCTTTGCAATAACAAAAGACAAACCTGTTTTTCTTCTGAAATGTATCAGTCAGCAGCGCTGTGTGATAGGCAATAAAAAAGGAATACTTGTACAGCAATCAGCATCTGTCTTCACTGTTTGTTGTTTTAAACTCCATCTCTCTGTCTTGGCCTATATTGCTCCGTAGTGATAACAGAGAGGGAGAGGCCTATAGAAATGTACAGTACACTATCTGGTGACTTATCTAGATTTACGATGTATTACTTCCTGTTCTCACTTTGGGGAGCACTGCTGCCTCAGCTAATAAATTAATCTGCCTCTCTGCTTGCACGCTGTACCCCATACACACAAAATATAACAATACCGGCGCCTCCCTACAGGCCATGAGTTATGAGACAAAGTATAGGAAACCAGCAGGTTTGGGCCACTATGGTGTGTGTGTGTTTTCTTTTTTTTTATGTGTGTGTAGAGGCTTATGTGCGGGTCCCTCCGAGCATTCCTGCTGTTATGGATTTCCATGTGAGGATGCTATCACTCCTGTGCCTACATTATCAATAACTGGGGTTTGCTTAATTGATTTCCTCCCAGCGTGCTTGAACAGGCAACATACATCATCGCCGTAGCGCCGTCTGGGAAGAAGAAGAAGAAGAAGAAGAAGAAGAAGAAACATCCCCGAGTTTGGGTTTTGCTGCAGGATGTTTGAGACCTTTTTTGATATTTAATTTGAGGCTGGATGAGTGAAATGGCAAGGGGTAGGGAGGGGGGAGAGGGGGGTGCAGCCGTGCAAAAGAAGGCTTGATGTGTCAACGTCCCCGGCCGGTAAAAAAACATCTAACATTTGATCAGAGCAAATCGGATTAGTTCTCATTTAGCTGAGTGGGATTACGCCAGAAAATGTCACTTTGTTATGACTGATCACGTCCCGTCGGTTTAGCTGAAGCTAGCACATCAATGTACAGTCATGCTACATATGTGTACACACACACACACACACACACACACACACACACACACACACACACACTCACAGTGTGCTAGGGACTGCTTCAGTGCTGCCAATTTAATGATAATCTGACAAGGTTGCTATGAGTGGTTCCCGCACGTCCTCAGCTAATATTTACCTCATGACCTGTAGCCACCGCGGCCAGTTTGCAGTGAAGGAGACAAACAAGATGATGGGAGAGAGACGGAAAATGCACTTACACACCTCGGAGGACATGCAGCGGGGAAACAGCCACAAGCTGGGCAGGAGTCTGCTGCACTGATTTTGAACCCCTCGCATTTTCGGCGAGGCTTGGAAACAGTTTGCAGACATTTTTTGGCCTCTGTGTCGGTTTTGAAGCCCACAAAATAGCGCAAAATAGCACAACAGAGACAGAGGCGTTTGTGTTGATAAAAGTCAGCTAAAGCCTCTGTTGCTGTGGGTCTTTACTTACTCATCCTATTTTGTTGTCCATTGACCTCAGCTGCCTGGCTCATAGTTTAACAGTTGACTGGCTTGGTTTATAATATGCTTGCGTGCTTTGGAGGTTCAGTGAGTTTAATGATTAAGCTGGATTTGATTACCACTGTGATATTTAGCAAACATGTTTTTTCTCCCCGAAACCGAAAAACAATTTTGTGTTATAATTTGTTATGAGAAAAATAAACTTTAGATGATGAGTTGGCAAGTTTATTGTTAGCAAAACAACATGCGTTTGCTATTAGTAGAATAGGTGCACAGAAGGCCTAATTAAAGTTCAAGTTTTGTTTTCATAATTAGCTTATTCCGATAAGATAATAAGGTAATTAGGAAAACACAAACTCCTGCCATATTTTTGTTTTTGGAGACAGATGTTATCAAAGCAAATGTTTTAAAGGTTTGTTCTCGAACGCTGGGAAACCTTTGGCTCCTGCAAAGTGATGTTTCAGAAAAGCTTTGCTAAGCTGACATTTAAATCTCGTTTTTTTTTCAGCAGGAGGTTAAAAAAACAAACTGCAACAGCAAAACTTGAAACTGCCGCAACCTGTTGAACAAGGGCTGGGTGAAACTTCAGGGGACTATAGACCGGAAACAGGATTTGGTTCCTTGCAAAGGGTCCAGTGAACGCTCCCCTCTGCTGCTCGCTGCACCGTGGGTCACCGTGAGAGGGTCTGAGAGCTGTTTTTGTTCCTTCCCTGCCCTGCGCCCTGCTGCTTGCCCCCTTTACCCCTTGAGATATACACCTTCTCTCTCCTTGCTGCCCCTCCCTTCTCCCCCCTTTAGACTCTGATCGTGTTTCCCTCTGATAAAGATCTCATTACACACAGAGAGGACTTAGAGCTCGAGCCCCACTCCGAGAGAAACAGAGAGGGCCAACCAATAAGAAATACTTCTGGAAAGCAACTGGCCCATAGTGCTGTAAAGGCACCCTATGTCTCACGGGGACAGCTGCGTTTGCTTTTATGTCTGTGCACTTCTGTGTCGACATGTCTGTTGTTTCAGCGGTGTGTAACGACAGATTCTTCGTTTGGTTATCTACGTGAGGCACCTGGGCTCAGAAAGGAGTTGCAGCGCTTTGCGTTATTTCAGGGGGAAAAAAAAGGAGCTATTTTTCCATCACAGTTTCTCTCCAGATGGACTCACTTTATCCGCTGGTGGTTTTGTTGCCACATCACTGAAAACTGATCATTCTGTTTTTTGTGTGTTATTGATGCGTTAATTTCTTTATATTCAAGCAGTGGTGCACATGACTTTCCTTCCCCGGCTTTGGGACAAGTAGCATTTTTTTTAACGTGTGTGTATGAGTTCCCAACTGGTCCTCATGACCCAGAGATACAGTTGGTTACACATATTGTAAGGACTCATTCACAACAGCTGAATGCAATGAATCACTTGGAAGACGAGCTGAAAAGATTAGTAAGATTAATAACTTAGCTGATCAAAAACAATCAGCAGCAACTTTGATAATCGATCAGGGGTATAATATTGCTAAAATCTTCTATCAAGATGTCAATATGTTGTGGTATATTACATTTTCTAGAAACCCAGTTTAGAAACAGTTTATGGCTGAACTAACCAGACAGGAATGTCTGAGGTTTATTTGTGGGATTTTAAAGGGAATTAAAAACCTGACAGATCAAGATATTTCAACACATTGATGCAACAATTATCATTAATACAACCAGACATAGACACCACAGTAAAAGCATAGAGAAATCAATGACAGCTAACACATTTAAATTGTCTCATGTTATATATTGCCATATTATTTCCAGCTTGTTAGATGTAAGATATTTGTAGTTTCTGTATAATTAGTAATATAGTAAAGTTCTATATACTAACCATATACCTTTTTGTGTTTTGGAGTGTTTGTTGGACAAAAAAAAGACATTTCAGTATCTTTGGCTCTGAGATTTTGTTGTGGTTGTTTTTCTTAATTTTATAGACTAAATTACTAATCACAAAACTAAAAAAGAAATCGATAAGTAAATCGGTA